ATAAGCTGAATTTCTCAGACCACATTGCTAAAACTGCCCGGTCCTGCAGATTTGCTTTATACAACATTAGGAAGATCAGGCCCTTTCTTTCAGAACATGCAACACAACTCCTTGTTCAAGCTTTTGTTCTATCCAGGCTGGACTATTGCAATGCTCTCTTGGCAGTTCTTCCAGCCACTTCTATCAAACCTCTACAATTAATCCAAAATGCCGCTGCAAGAGTAATCTTTAATGAGCCAAAAAGAACGCATGTCACACCTCTGTTCATCAATTTGCACTGGCTACCTGTAGCTGCTCGCATTAAATTAAAAACCACCACTGGCTCTGCACCCATTTACCTAAATTCATTACTTGAGAGTTATGTGCCCTCTAGAAGCTTGCGTTCTGCAAGTGAACGGCGTATTATTGTGCCATCTCAAAGAGGCACAAGATCACTTTCACTGACTTTTTCATTAACTGTTCCCTCCTGGTGGAATGACCCGCCCAACTCAATCCAAACAGCCTTTGCCATCTTCAAGAAACGACTAAAAACACATCTGCTCCACCTTTACTTGACCCTCTAACTCTAGCACTTTCTACATTTATCTTTTATTATTATTATTTTTTATTATTATTTATATTTTTCTATTCTATTTTTTTCTATTCTATCTACTTGTTTTTCTTTGTGTGTGTGTGTGTGTGTTTATGTGTGTGTGTAATATATATATATACACCTTGCTACGTGTACTGCGTTAGGCTAACCAAGACTTGCCATTTGCACTTATATATTGTTGCGCTTTTGTTAGTTTTGACTGCTTTTATTGTCCTCATTTGTAAGTCGCTTTGGATAAAAGCGTCTGCTAAATGACTAAATGTAAATGTAAATTCTTATTGAGTTACTTCGATAAATGTATGAGAAGATTAGCAATGGTTTTGAATGTTGCAGATAAATTGCAGGTACTACGTGACCAGGAATGTATGGAACATACAATAAAAGCATATGCTTTAATATTAGTAATCATAGGGGAACCACTTTAAGTGCTACATAGCACCTATATCTTTAAATATGGTGCTATATAGTACCTTAACCCTAAAGAACCGCATAAGAACCATTACAGGTTCTTT